TCTTTCTCCAACTAGCTGAGGCGGTGCTTTCCATTTCAAGCATTGCAGCTGGGATAAGCTATACAAAAAGAATAAAAAGAGAAGTACCTATCCCAAGACAGCTAGGATGCTACAGATTAAGCTGCTTTGATTACAGTCACTAAATATACTTTGGTTTTTCATATGAAATACCAAAAGGAATCTGTTGGAGACCCCTGAGTCCCTTGGGTAAGTTCATGCTCCTCTTACTACCCAGGATACAAGCTCTAAAAGGCTGCCAGTGAAATCCAGGCCCTTGTAGCCTCTTGAGAATATTTTTCCTATAAAGCTGCAAAACCGTGAGCAAATAGCCTTGTATGATAACTCAGAGGTAGACGCACAGGGGAGGTTGCTGAAAAAGTCTTGGGTAGTTAGGAAGAATTAGTCTTGTGTTAGAAAGCTTGTTTCTCAGTCTGGTTTGCCTGGAAGCTGAAGCACCCATGGTGTGTCCTTCCCATCTCCCAGCACAGCAGCAGCTGTGTTATGGACAGTCGCAGTTTGGAGCACGAGCAAGCCATGGGAGATTTATATAGGCTACTTAGGCAGTTCCTTGGTTGGACTTGGTGGCTGCGGTTGATCGCTCTTGGTCTGGCTTGCAGGAGGGGGCCATGTGGTCTTCTGATGAAGATGGCTGAAAATGAGAAATACGTTTTACATAGTTTGGGAGAAGGATGCAGAGGATAACATGAAGACAACACTCATTATTTAGGAAAGAGAAGACGAGGATCTTGCATGGCTAGTGGATTGTACTGGCCATCTGTTTTGTCTGAAAATGCTTTTCATAACCTTGGAATTATGGTTTGCAAATGCCTACTTTGTACTTAACTAAAAAGCTGTGCTGGCAGATGTTCATGTTGAGTTAAGGTGATCAGCTACGACAGTGGCAGTACACATTTAGGTTGCAAAGTGCCCTTTCAGCAGATATCTTTAGGACATGGGTCTGTTAAATATAAGCCATTTAAGAGGTTTTAGGGAAATTCATAAGATAGTGAAGGTCCAAACAAAGCCACGTTGTCCTGCTCTCCTTGGCTGGGACTTCACAGCATCCTGATACCACAACATGAAGGATTAACACATTCAGTGATGCTTTTTTCCCTTACTCAGAACTCACAGTGGTCTATAAAAATGCCAGCTAGGCAAGCCATAGAACCATCAATTTCCATCTGGCCTGAAGGAAAAAGAACATTTTAGAAAACAAAAGAGAGATTCAGGAATTCACACCGTACTTCACTGTGCAGGGCAGGAAGTCTCTTGCTGTCTGGGAAGGGACGTATTTCTCTGACATGGCCATCTGGAGGCCTCTACAAGATTATCTGGTTAAAAGTTGTCAAGCAAGAGTTTTGATTAAAAAAACCAACAAAACAAACAGGAATTTTTACTATGTGTATTGTCAAAATTACAGACCATGGCAGTTTTGACACCTACTCCTTGTAATTTGGGATTCCTTCAGCAGGCAGGCACTGGTCCCTGTCACATGGCAAAGCTGCAAATGTAAGCACACAGCCAAGTATAAGTGAAGGGTTAGAAAACATGCCCAATGCAAGTAGCACTGCTACATTATGATAATGCACATTTAAATGATGCAGGAACTCTGAAAATGCTGACACGCTCATATATCCGAGGTGCTCCTTAAAGGCTACAATTATTTTCCTTGTGTCTTGTGCTTTGAGACAAAGACAATGCTGGACCATGGCCATGTTTAGTTGGTGAATAGCATCAAAGAGTAAAGACTGGGCACCTATTTGGGACTGTACGCTCACCTGATCATGACACAGAGGAGATCAGAAACTCTCCTTTTGCACGGAAGGAGACAAGCAGGGGTCAAATAACTTCTGCCAAGAAATGTTTATGGCTCATGAGGGGAAGGGAGTCTAGCCTGATTTGCACGCCAAGGAAACAGGGAGATTACTATTCCCCTCTGCTCAGCATTGCTGTAGTCATACCTGGATGGTGTAATGAAAGTTTGGATCCCTGGCTCAAAGCTATTGAGAAACTGGACAGCGTCCAGCAAAGGAAGCCCTAGGGCTCATAACCTGCAAGGAGAGGCTGGGGAGGGCTGAGGGAGCTGAGCTTGTTTAGCTTGGCAAAGAGGAGGCTGAGAGGCAATTTTGCAGCACCCACTCCTACTTCAAGGGCAATTAGAAAGATGTTGGAGCCAAGCTCTTCTTGGCAGCGGCAGACGATATAACTGGGGGCAGTGGCTACATATTGCACCTGGGGGAGTTCAGGCTAGATGCTGGGAAAATCTTTTTCACAGAGCATAATGCAGCACGGGAACACATTATCCAGAAAGGCTGTGGATCTCCGTCCTTGGAGGCTGAAAGCACAGCTGGCTAAGCCCACTGCAGATCTGGTCTAGTGTGATGGTCCTACCTGGAGCAGAAGATTTGACTCCTGATCTCCAGCAGTCCCTTTCAACCAGCATTTCTATGATTCTATGAATCCATCCTCCTGCCTGTTCAGTTTTTTCCCCCGGATAAATGCCTTTCCTCTGGCCCTGGGCAAAAGTCACACCCTTTGACTCCTTACACTGCAAGTCTGCATTTCAGATTCAAAGATGAGTCACATGGATACACGGAGGGCAATTACATCCGGTTAGCATGAGAGAATCAAGTACATGTATGGAAGGCTTAACTAGTATGGCAAAAAATATGGAAGGTGGTGGGAACTGTAAATAACACTAACAGACATCCTTGAGACTTGTTTGGATTCAGGTTTCTCCAGTTAATTTAGTGCTTACCGTCCTTGCTGGAGAGGATTGGTGCTAACAGTTCTTTAGCTTCTGATAGCAAAAGGTCAACAAGATCTGAAGATGGAAGAGATGTATCTGAGACTGCGTCTGTTTTATCCTCTTCTGTTTCACTGTTGACTCTTATAAATATGGAAAGTGCCATCAATACTTCTATCACAGAATGGTCATTGAAAATCCTGGCCAGCCTCTTGTGAATGATATTCTATGTAAATCTGTGTGTTTGGTGGCATTGCGTCTCGATCGCTCAGCAGCACAGGAGTCTCTCTTTTAGACATACTTGCATCATTGTGTTACAGACAGATATCAAAGTATTTTTTTAGAATTTCTCAAAAATATTTTTCCTTCATTATATTGGAAGTAACCACCTTGGAAACTTAAAAATGATTTTCAATCATTCTTAAAAACTGGCTTTTTTAATCGGGCTGGTCATTATCAATGGGACAGTGACCTTTCAATGATTTAATCAATTAAAAGCACACATAGAGTTGTGATACATTTTTTTTTCAAGTGATGGGAGATAGGTTCAGGTTGAAGGAGAGTCCAGAAGCCTGAATTATATTTCTGCAACTGTTCATGCAGTTGAGAGTCATGCTAGCTCTTTGCTTACGCTCTACCAGTTACTGTAACTGCTAATAAAAAAGGACACACTCTTAAAGCCAAAAACTGATTTGTGTTAGGAAAACCAGGTGGGTCAAAACTCTGGTTCTTTGAAACAACCTGCTTAGGGTCTCTGCTAACAAGAGCAACTTAACCAGAGGAGTGTTTCACCTACTCACTCCAAAAAAAAGCCTGAACGGAGGCCAGCCCCCCCCAAGTACCAATCCACCAGCAGCCTCCAGATCATCTTTCCCCAATGGTTTCAATTCCTAAGCGGCAGTATGTTTAGAAACTCAGGGTGGGTTACATTTGAATCATCTTCCCCTGGGAAAGGTTAGAAAAGGACATTTCACGTTCCTGTTCAAGATTCCCAGAAGCCATCTCCTACCTCTTCTCATCTGGTAAATGACTGGGTGTGCTCAGGACCTTGTGGACGTTCTGCCATGCAACAAGAAAAAAAAAAAAAGGTTTCAAACTTGTAGGAATGAATAATTCCTGAGAACAAACCCCATGGGTTTTTCCTAGTGATCAGATTTAATATGACAGTAATCAGCTTCTGCTTATTCATTGCCCTTGAAGCGAATATCTCAAGGCCTTTTGCATCTCAAGCAACATTCACAGCCTATGCAAATATACAGACACATCTAAATTATGCATTTTAATACCAACACTAAAATATATGAAATGCAACATAAAAATACTCTTCCAAAGAATAATTTTGCAGGCTATGTTTCAGTGAGCCTTGATCATTGCTACTAGCAATCCCTGGCTTCTGGATTGTACCTGCACGTGTAAGCTCTCATTACCATGCATGGTTAGTGAATTCTCAAATGCTACTGAGGGGTCTATAAAAAAGGAAGATATTTCGTTCCAGTGGTCAAAATCCTGTGATGTTTGACCCTGGGGCCAAGTCAAATTAATTTCCAAAGTCCGGCCCCAAACCGCACAGGCACTAGCATGTAGTGCTGCAGGTCTAGAGACATTTTAATTCTTCCTTCTCTGAAGCAGAGGACAGAGCATCTACGCTTCCTTGCACTCCACTGTCTCCTATTGATTTTGAGAGCTCTTGGGACAGGTTACTAGTAGCTGTAGCAGATATAGTGAATACTAGTGCTTCCCATGCTGGCCAGCTTACTAATTACACAAGCTTGTATACCTAATACAGGTAGTGAAGTGGAAGAATAGTCAATTAAAAGACTAAGCAATTATGTGTGAGATTTTGCAGGAAGTCTGGGGGAAAAAAGCAGTGGAAGAGCAAACCCACTCTTTGAGTTCACATTTGTTGTGTAGAAAAGCAACTGTCAGCTATACAAAGGCAAGGTTAAAACATGATTTTGACCGTCATGTCCAACAGAGTTCCTGGAGCAGCCTCAACCGTCACGGGGGGACCAGTGAGCCAGGGACAGCAGAGCCACCAGGTGAAACCTGCACCCTCGTGTTTACATAGCTCTCAGGTACATGAGTGTGTATGAGTTCATTCCCTAGTTTCTCCTAACCAACAGACAGTGCCTTTTTAGGATAAGACAGAATTTAAAAAATGCCTCTCTTGCTTATAGAGCAGGAAGTTCTTTGGACTTGCAAAATCACTGTTAAGGTAAGAGGCCACAGTGATGCCACCAGCTCTGGGGGTGGTTCAGCACTTCACCTGCACAAACAGGAGCAGTTTCCTATTGCAGATCTCCAGGCGCTTCCGTGAGACTTCTGATTTTCGTAACTGGCCGTCAGCCAGGGACAACTGTCTTTTCAGTTCCAGGATGTCCTCCTGAGACAAGGCCAGAGGAAGAAGAGAATGGTGATGACGATGCTCCAGCCTTGGCTTTTGGAAACACCACTTTATGACATTAGCTACAAATACAAAACTGCTATCCTTTTGAAATGGACAGTGGAAATTACACAGATTATAACACAGACCCAGAGACCGTGCTGGCCTTGGGGCCACACAACAAACGATTTATGTGCTACATTCATTTTCTCCTTTAGACATAGAAGGAGAGGAACCCACAGAAGAAGGATCAGGAGGGTTGTGTGTTTTTTCCCAGGCTGAGGAGTTGCATTACCTCTATTTCAGAGACATGTTTTGCTTTCTTCCCCGCCAGCTGTATCTTCAGTTCTGCAATTTCAGCTTCCAGCAAGTGGATCACTTCCTCGTAGTCCTGCTCTGCACTGTGAGCCTGTCTCTGCACGACCTCTGCCATCTGCAGCTTGCTGTGCAGCGTCCGGTTCTCGGAGAGGAACCCCAGTGCTTTCTGGAAGCAGCGAAAAGTTCTGATGAATGCACCACATCCCCGTCAGCCGCCAACCACCAAAACTACCCCAAGGTCCCAAGCAATCTCTTCACTAACCTGGTTCAGTCTCTGAAGCTCATCTTCCATTGACTTCTTGCTGTTCTCCACCTCTTTCAGGAGAGACTACGGAAAATATTTTCACTGGATTAGAAGCAACAAGCGACAGGACCACTCTCCAAAAGACACCCTGGTCTTGTAGCCCCTACCGACTAGAAGAATATTTTACAGAAGCAGTCGTGTGCACTCTCCCCTACCACAGTGCTTTTTGGGCTGCAACCTGCATGCCTGCAGAAATCCACCTGGATACCACCATGGTGCTAACAGCCATGCTGGCAATCTGCAGCTGGGTCAGGAGGGGAGGACAGGCGGTGCTTCTGTTATTCATGGACTTGAATGATTTGTGAGACACGTTTTTGTATTTTTAAATCTATTTACTCACTGCTAAAAAGTGACTGCATACTTCAGTACAAATAAGCTTTCATTTGAGGTTGGGAGTGAGAAAGAAGCAATTAAGGAGAGCTGAGGGTGAGTCTCCTTTGTAACAAGGAACGTGCAGAATGCAAACTGGTGACTTCTTAGGAGGGACAGGCAACACCATTACCCTCGCGTACGACTACAGAGAGCTACAGCAGAAGGCACCAGCCAAGAAATCTGCTCAGAGGAGAGTCTCCACCTTTAGCCTTCGGACTTCTTGCCGCAGATCCATCATTTCCAGTTGCAGCTGCTCCAGCTCCGCATTGCCATTACAGTTGAGAGAGTCGAAGATCTGCAAGGCAAAGGGACAGACAGCATCATGCACCGCTTATGCTTTACCAAAAAGCAGGCATATTGTTTTCCATACCCAGAATAACAATGAATCAAAATCACTTTGGAAAGGAGTCAGCATTTTTATGCAACAGATCAAAAGGCACTTTAAATAATTCAACTGCAGGGTTGTTTTTCACCCCGCAGGATTTCACTCTCTGATCCCTGACATTGCTGGAATAGCTGTGCTATAGTGAATTTTCACTTTGTGAGCCAGGAGAAATTAGTTGGAATTGATTAATTATAGCTAATTTTCCTTCTGCATCTCTGCCAGGCTGCTTCCTTCATATCATCCCATAGGTATTCTTATTTCCCTATTAAAAATGAGAAGTTTGAGGTCTTTTACAGAATTTCCTATAATTGAAATGATAAATGCATAGTTCTGCCTTCTCTTTATAACTCTAGAACAACCAGAAAATGGTAATTTAGCTTTTCCCACCTCAGAATTTCATGAATTTAACGTAGAAAATTCATTGATTCAATGTAGAAGAGCATTGGACTGACTGACCGGAGAGTGAAAAGCTGATGTATCCAGCAAACTGGCTACTTCGTGCTGCGTGAAGAGTATGGAGTTGGAATCCAGACCAGCCTCATCCAGCTCCTCCTGCATCACATCCCTGAGTGCTTGGAGAAGATCTGTGAGAAAGAATTAGTTTTTACTGGGCTAAAAGAGGAAGCTCTGTGTGTTAGGAGAAAATGCCACCGATTTGGGGGACATCCATTGACTGCCAAGCAGAGCAGGGTTAGAGATGCCAAACAGTCTTCTCTAACACTCCTGGGTTCTTTGGCAATCCTATCAAGCTTAAATAAGTTGTTGACAATCTTTACCAGACCCTTGTTTCTTTTCCAGCTGAAAAAAAAAATCAAACTTCTACCCCAGATATTTTCACAGTGGAGTTTTCACGACTGTGCTTCTCCGAGTTTTAAAATTTTAAGCCAAAACCACATTTCTCTGACAAAAGGCACCCGCTTGCCTGCTGACATTTCTCATGTTGCTGATTTAAACAAAAAACAACTTGATGACTTCAGCACTTAGAAAAGGTGTTAAATTGACAAGTCTGAAACGCCAGATTCATTTCGCTTTCAGACCTGGAGAAAAGCACGGTGCGAGGGGCCGCGTGGGACAGACGGGAGCTGGCGCAGCGGAGGGGAGGCTGCACCGTGGTCCCAGCCCCTCCAGTCCTAAGCCCGGGGCTGCAGCAGGAATCGGAGCCTTTACCTCAAGAACAGCCATCTTCACTACCAGGGCATTTCCCAAATACCCCTAATCATCCTTATTTCTATTGCCACCAACTACGAAGGCAGTCACTCTTAGGAGAGGTGCATGGTTCTGTATCCCATCACTTGCTTTGCACAAAAATGACCATCCAAGAGGCGTTGTGCTTTGCAAGGCTGTTCTGTCCGGTGGGGACATTGCTGCTGGTGGGGACATTGCTGCTGGCTCTGAATTTTTGTGAAAAAACTTCTGGAGAGCAGACCCTGCAGGCCAGATATGCTCTGGCAGGTCACAGAAAGTGGAGCAGGCTTTTATTTTCTGCATGTCCTCTGACCAGCTCTCGCTTGGCAAGCTGGGTGTTAAGGAAAGTGAGCCCTTGCACTGACTTTCTTGTATTTTCATTTTACATATGCTTCTACCAAACACCTTCTTTTGTATTTGTGACTTTTCGTAGCTGTTTTAGGCTACATCAATACCCAGCCAGGTATCTTACCTGCCACCTTTCACCAGATGCCCCTCTTCTTTCTTAGCCTCCAGCAAAGCTACACAAAAATTAAAAAGCCCGTCACGCGCAGAGCTGCCCGCTCACCTCCATAGGCCACCGTCCCCTGTGAGTCTGTGGTCAAGCTTTGCCGTAACTGCCTCTTCTTCTCCTCGCTCACATCCAGACCAAGATACTGCAGAACCTTGAGCAGAAACAAGGAGCCTTTAAAAAGAAAAATACTGGAAAAGCAACTCTTTGAAGTAGGTGCCAGGAAGACGCTTGGTGCTGGGTTTTCTTGTGGAAATGAGACAGGCAGCATCTCCCAAAGGAGTGGGCTTGGGCTGGATTTCCAGTCTGTCCTTTTCTACACATGTACTGAAATGTCTGTTCCTGAAGACAGGGACACATTCACATCTCTCCAAGAACATTTTATACAGACTGCAAGCAGATTTACAGCTATGACAAACTGTCAGGAGCTTTATCGAAAGCCAGTGGAGCTGTGGCAAGGCCCAGTTGCCAAGAGCTCAGCCTCTCCTCTTTCTCTTACTGCCCAGGAATTGTGTTCGGAACCGAAAAGATAAAAGTATTTCTCACAGCAACAGGAGACATTCAAACATTTTGCTTCTTCATTGCACCTTTTGCTCTCTCATTACGCCTGATGCCCTGTCTTCTACTGATATTTATCAATTCAACCCCAGGGTGCCACACAGAAGCAGATAAACCTGTGCAAACCCCACTTTGCTTCTGGCAGCAGCAAGTAAAAGCTTTTAAAAGTCAAGCTCAGCAGACTCTGGGAAAGAGCCCATGTTAAACACTCCCCTGTCCCAGGCTGCACCCGTCGCTCTTGCTCATGCATGTACAGCACCTCCCGCGTAGTCCCCTGGAAAGGGGCTGGAGACGAGTCCTTGCTCACGTTTCTGTCACCAGCAAGCCCACAGGACCCGTCTGCTCTCACGTGCTGCCTGCGAGGCCCATTTGAGTCCCACCTCCTGCTCTGCCTGCCAGCCCTGCACAAGGCAGTGCTGCTGGCTCCCGGGCTTCGGGATGCCCCGATCCTCAATCTGCAGATGTCGGCATCTGGCGTGGGCCACCCCAAAACCATCGGAGACGTGTGCCAGTCGGCGTGCATCTCCTGCCCCTGGCACTGCTGCAGCTGCCTGCTCGTAACGCTGGCTTTTAAAAGGGAAAGCCAAGCGTCCCCACTCCTCCCACCAAAGAAAAGCTGCTTTTATACCCACGACGAGCAGAGGTCGCTGCGAAAATGCAGTCCTAAATCCTGCTTTAGGAGAATTATGCAGGCTTAGAAGAAAAGTTCTGCTTGCATGGCTTACGCGCCCGGGAGGCGAGAGCAGCAAAGGGGCGAGCGCTGCGTCTGCCGTGGGGTGGCAGCAGCTGCTCGTGCCATCGGGCCCACTGGGGTCCCCAGCCCTGCAGAAGGGGCTGCATTCCCACCCCCGCCCCCCTTATTGCCAGCAGTACCCGGGGGGGGACATGCACCCCCAAACCAGAGCAGGAGCACGGCCTCTGCTCTTCGCCAGGGTCTCGGTGAGCAAATGGGAAGCTCCGCTCCCTGCCTTTTGATGGTGCCCGTGGAACGTATTTTCCATAAAATGGTGAAAGGGGCAGTGGTTCTGGCTGGATCCTCGGTGAGATATCTTGTATTTCAGCCTTCCCTCGCCCACACCAGGCTGCCCGAGGTCACCCCAGCAGCGACAGCAGCACTGGAAAGTTTGGAGGGCAGCTGCCTGTACCTACAGCCCTGAGTCAAATGCATTACATCCAAGGGAGGAGATTACATCTCCTCTGCCGGGAGGAGACTTCTGGAGCTCCCCGGAGCATTGAGAAATAGCCAAGGTGAGCCAAGGTGTGTTTAAATGCCCCTTCAGGATGTTTGACTATGCCCTCTTCTCCCTTTTTACCTTTAAAGGCTGGACCCAACCTCCAGCAAACTCCACTGAAGAGTTGAGATGCTTTTTTTCTTTTCCAGATTCTTGGTAATAAATACAGTTTGGTGGCTGACTCTTGCACCTCTATCTCAAAAAACAGATTAATTAATTGTAGCATGTGAGTGGTGTGATGCTAGTAAGGAAAGCAGTGTTCTGAGCACCGCAGCTGGCTCTGCTCTCCACATTGCCTGGGCTATTGCTATTCCCAGCACAGCCCAGTCAGTATCCTATATCCTAGGGAAGTGAAGGAGAATTAGGCTGGAGCAGGCTGTTTGGCGGAGAATGCTGCATGTGTAGATTAGAGTACTGATCAAGTGCTTTAGCTTTATTCTGTGCAAACAGGCAGGCTGTTTCTCTTTGACTCTATTCAGGTTTGCATTTTTTAGTCCTTGCAAAAAACAAGTGACATAGTGACCCCCATGCTAGTACCTGGCCTGGTACTCCCATGCCCGAGTGCGACGTTGGTGCAAGAAGCAAAGCTGAAGTGTCTCGATCGGTTCTTTCACAGAAAAGCAATACAAGGAGTCATGTAAGCTTATCGTGTTTGCCAATAATGTGGCAGCTGGAAGCAAGCACGTATCACACCAGTGGACTATTGTGTGCATTGCACGCCGCAGAGAGGATTGAGATGAGACCTTGCTTTGGGGAGAGGGACCCGTTCTGCTTTTCTGCTTACCAGTTCCAATTTCCCATCCTTGAGACGGATATGGGGATCCAGTGCTACTTTTGGTTTGGTGCCTGAAGCTGCTTTATGATTAGATGCCGAAGCAGGTGCTGAAAAACCAAAAAGAAATGTTAATGGAAGAGCACTTGAGTACAGGAAAGAGATGCCTGCAAAGCAAAATTCAGAACTCTTGTTGCATGAAATATAATGTGTGTGCAGCAGGCCAAAAATCAAAGACTGGGATTTACTAAATCCGGTCCTGGAAGGCTGAACTAGGCCACTGTTGAAAAGATTTGATACTGGGGCAAACCTTTACTGAAACTGGGCTTCTGCATGGTTTAAAATGGGATGTTTCATCCAAGGACCTAGGACTGCAAAAATAGCACTTTGGAAATTTCCAATCACAGGTTTCTGTGGAGTCTTGGGGTCTGTAGTTATGGTGATCTGGGCAGGGGGGAAATATCTGCCTGGCTCTTGTCTTCTCTAATTGATTAAGCAAAACTGAAACCCAACATTTTGTAAAATGCAGCCTTGACTTCCAAAATGCCCATGGAAAAAGGAATCGACAGATTAAAAGAGATGTGGAAGAACACCAGTGCAAAACTTTTTCCCTCCCCAAGACTGCAAAAAGCCTTGAACCTTTTTCCCTCAGTTGGGCAGCAGCGTTTTTTGAGTAGAAGAAGCCACTTGCATTGCAAGGCATGCACAGAGGGAGAAGAGGCAGAAATAGCAGCTGCTTTGCTGGTGAAAAGCTGTCATGAGATCAGAAGAGCCAGCTGCTGACAGCTGGCTCATCCTCACCGCCACTGCCTCCAGAGATGAAATGGAACAGAGCTCAAACCCTGCTGCCATGCCCTGCCACTTGGGCTCCTCCATCCCTGGAGGGAACCTCACCTTTACATTATGATTAACCCTTGTCCTTAAGAAACCATGACATTCCTTGGGAAAAGGGCTGCAGAAGGTGTTACCCACTCTGGAACTCCTCTGCCAGACTCCAGAAAGGTGCAGGACTGCTGTGCCTGCAGCCCTGCTGCCTGCCCCTGCTCGCCCTCAAACTATCAGCCCGGGTTGGTGACAAAATTCCTTCTCATGCCAGTGGCACAGGATTTGCCCAGCAAGCAATTTCTTTCACCTGCCTGTGATCTGATTAACATCACGGGAAGCCCCATCTTGACGAGTAACACTGCTTCTCCTGAACTACCGTCGGGGCAGAGACCAGGTGCAAGGAGAAGGCAGCGAGAAGCAGTGGAGGTGCTGCACAAGCGTAATCCTCCTAATCCAGGTATTCATCTGCTCTGCTAACGCTAGCAGCTGGGAAGCAGCAAGAGGTAATAAATGAGTTTGCTGGATTGGCCACCAACACTTTACTCTGCAAAGTTCAAGGGCAGAGCTGTTACCCTTCGACGCATGGCTAATCAGGATTAGCTCCACGTGGCTTTGCTGTCAGCTCTGGACACGGAGATATCCAGGGCATCCATCAGGCACCCAGAGAGACGCAGTCACTGGCCCAGGCTCCAAGCCTGGCTGCTGCTCTTTCAAAGCCAGTTGTCTGTTTTCATGGATGACAACACTGACACAAAGCCTTCTCAGCATTTCACATTAAAAAAACTGCATGTAATAAAATCCCCTAGCTAAGTCAGGAAGTGATTAGGTCATTGCTGTTTGCTGGATTGCCTACATGACCCAGGGCTTTGCTCCCCGTCACCAGGAGCTCTGGCTTCAGGATGGTCGGGATAGGGAGGACAGACCAAGGGCAGTCCCTGTCCCAGGGTCTCTGCAACGCAGAGCATGGAAGGCGAAGGCTGAAGCCTGCTGAGCTTGCCCAAGGTGAGACAGGCATCCCTGGGAGCAGAGTACTGATGCACGCCCAGCCCAGCACTGTCTGCTCCCTGTCTCTCCCACTAATCTCAGGTATAGACTAAACACAATTTACCTTGCAATGCTCGCTCTTAGCCTTCCAGATGGAAATTACAACACGGCACAGGGATTCACAAGTGGGGCCAGTGCCTCGGCAGCGCATGGGGAAGGAAGTGCCGTCGGACTTGCGGGCGCGAGAATGATGGGCAGCGCTTGCTAGGGACTGGCTAGGGAAAGCCCGTCTTTTCCTCAGGACAGGAGTAACCTTCATATCATAGGGACGTGGGGTATCTTGCTGGAGGTCATCTCCCTGGACACTGGATCATGGAGATTATTGAGGTTTCCTGCAATTCCTAAGGGATCTGTGAAGCTGCACAGCTACTGGACTTCACCCCCCATTGAACAGAGTAGGTCTCTCCCACAAAAGGTAAGCACTCAGTAGCAGACTCAGAGCATGGAGAGAAAACACAGCTTGGAAAAGTAAGCAAAAAGTGAAGCTTGGATGTAGAGAGAAATCTGACTTAATCACATCTATAAGCAATTTCCCAATTTGACCAACTGAGGGCATCCTTAAATGCCTGTATAATGCCCAGGGTTGCTGCGTACATTACAGCTATCATTAATTGACCTTTTTTATACTGTGTCTCTGAGGACCACCCGTTCCCATTGCATACCTGCAATGAGACCTGCTGCATGCAAGTCTGATATGATCTTTGCATGTGGGCAAAGACACTGCAGCAAATGAACCACAGGCTGAGAATGGAAGAAGTTGTGTCTTATGAATTCTCTGAAAGCTTTAGTAAAGAATTTTGCTACTATGGACAAACATGGACATAATTACTACCTGTTGAGTAAGCCAAGCTGCTACCTTCCCTCTCTCCTAGCAGGCTGAGTCTCATTATCACCCCATTAGATTCCACTACAGCATTATAAACACTGATCAAAATTAATTTCATCATCCTCAGCACCGAGGAGCCAAGGCTGTGTTTGTCACCCACACAAAGAGAACAATTTAGCGGGACTCTTACCTGAGACTGTAAGCTCCGGTGGGCAAATGTCCGGTGACAAAGAAGGCACAGGAAAATGATTTTCACGTCTATTCTAGAAAAACAAGACAAAACAGCACAGACAGTTGCTAAGCAGAATCTGTTGATGTAAATGAAGAGCAGAAGATAGAGGTGTTCAGGAGAGAGCAACCCATCTGGCCCATAAAGAGCAAAGGCACCACATACACCTCTTGTGCTGACGGGCCAAAAGAGACTCAAAGGATTTCTCTCGGAGCAGTTCGCACAGGCATGTTCCTGAGCCATCTCAAAATCTCTGGTCACACACAGAAAAATGAGTTTGTCATTACTGTAACCGTGAGTGAGAGCTGAGGATTAATTTGACCTTGTATAGTTTCTCCATAGAAGTTCTCCCTAAAGCTCTGCATCTAACCCACCAGTGAGGTCTTGACCACCGAGGCAGTGCTTCCATAGCTGGGAACATACATGCAGAGAGGGGCACAGGACTGGTGCTGAGGACATATGGACAGGTAGCAGAGGTGCCTGAGCATGCTTTCCCTAGTGTGGAAGGCCAGACTTCATTAAAAGTTCCATCTTTTATCAGCAAAGTGAAGAAATGAGGAATTAAATTCCAGCCAGCAATATAATTTTATATAGGTGCACAACACTACACAAGCACACCTTCTGCTGGTGATGAAGGATCTAACTACACTACTCAGCTATATGTATATGGGCTAAGGCTGACTTTCATAAGCACATCTCCAGTCTGGTACACCCAAAGGCAACTTATATATGACATTCTTGCAAGTCCATTTCTCCACAGGGTCTGGAAAGAAAGACCTTTTGTGAATTATGTTTGTATGAAAGGAACATCCAGTTGGCCTTTTCTAAAGGCAGTTTATGTGGAAGAGGGCAGTTGCATCAGCCCAGGAGAGGAGTGACAAATGCACAGAATACAGCCACAGACCTAAATTACTGTGAAGGTTGTGTGGTTAAACCCCGTCTCACCACGCACAGCTTGAGCACTTGTCTCTGCAAACAGAACATGGAGCAAGGCTTCACAGCAGGAATGAGCCTGGCTTATCATTAGACTAGTGAAGAACAGAAATGGGCTGCTTAGGAATGCTGTGGATTCATCCTCATCAGAGGTCTTTAAGAATAAAGAGTTGCTCCTGCCTTTAGGTAGGAGTCTAGATCAAACTGACTCCTGAGATCCCTTCCAGCTCTATGACTGGTATTGAATGAGATGCAGGTTGCTATCCACAGAAGGGTTTTGTTTTTTTAAAACCTGAGACTTCTGAAACAGGTCTGAATTCAGGCCCTGGAGATGAAACTCGTCTCATTACCTCCACAGATCCTTCGCTGTCTCGAACCCAAGACAGAAGAAACAATATTTCAGATTTAAAATACCTGGCTGTAAAGCAGGGCTACATACATCAGCATTGCAGGCTTTCCACCATCCAGAAGGACTGCCATGGAGTCCCTAAAGAGGAGTTTTCTGATCAAAGAAAGACATCTGTGGTCTTAGATATGAACTTTAACCTACCTCTGGGGACCTCACATGGACCTTCAGTCTGGAGGAACTCAGACCATTTCCCACAGCCTTTGGAGGTGGTGATGGGATGTTGTTATGAACTGACAGTCCAGGATGTAACCGTCCCCTTCCAGGAATAAAGGCCACTTCTGTGTTTCCCTCGTGTCTTAAACAAACGACAAATACAGAACATTTTATTAACAAAAAAAAAAAAAAAAAAGCACAAATTTGCAGAACTTCCATGCTTGTGGTTCTTTCTCCAGGACAATCCACTTAAGCCCATGTAGCCTGCACAAGTGTAGCTGAATCTCCATCAGCTGTGCTGCTTGTTTGAACTTCAGTTCTGTTGCAGAACTCTGCTGGGCAGTGAAAGGGGATATTCATGAGGACCAGAACATTAGGAAGGTCTGGACTACATTTCAGGATGATCCATGCACTCAAGACTTCCTTATGCAACCACCTGTCAGGACCATCTTGAAGCATCATTTAATAAGAAGCCTCATGCTTCTTGGAGCCAAACATTGGTATGACATGAAGGGTTTCTGCTTAAGACTCAACAGCACTATGATGATGACAGGAAATATGTTATATGCCTACCTGAATTTGGCTTTTGCAATTATTTTTCTGGCCTCTTCATGTGTGCTGCCCACCAAAGAATCTTTATTGATAGCAATTAGTTGGTCACCAGGTCGGAGCCGACCATCCTAAACAAAGAGGGAGAAAGTCACAGCATTGGAAAGGAATGTCTCTCTGCCCAAAGCCTTCTCCTGCAACACAAATCCTCATTAGTCCATGCAATGCATTATTCATCTGTTCTTAGAAAAGCTGCTTCAGAACAGCTACAGCCTCTAGGAGAGGTCCCCATTGCAAAGTCACTGAGGGTCTCCACGCTGACTTACCTTGTAACAGTCACCATCTGGCATAAGCTCTTGAACATAAATCATGGGGCCATCAGGCCTGTTGGATCCACCACTGATTGTCAGCCCTAAGCCGGAGGATTTTGCTATAGAAATGCTCTGGATTCCTGATTCAGTGGAGTAGCTGCAAGGGAAAGATGTTAGCAGGTGACTCAAGGTGATATGGGTTATTTTCCCATGTCACTGAACAAACTCTGCCTGGTTTTCTTCCCATGCATGATCCTTCTAACTTCTCCCAACCTTTTCTGCCTCTGTCTTTTCTTCCACCCAACCTTGGAAAGAGGAGGTGAGGACTCCTGTTTCTCAGCAGATATTGTTCCGCATTATGAAGATGAGTGGCTTGCATAATCCCAAATGCTGGTGAATACTCATTTGCATTTAGAAAATAGAGAAGAAACTAAAGGTTTAACCAGAATGTATTTGTCACTCTTGGTTTTTATAGCCAAAAGCACACAAAGGATCAATGTGGTTAATGTTTGGATCCAGCTAAATCATCAGACAGCAATTTACAGATTGGTCAACTATTAAGCAGCCTTTAGCAAATGTCAAAGCAAAGCTCAGGATACACAGCTATGTCTTAACAGAGATTTGGACTCAAAATCTTGCAAGATGCCCTAAGAAATGAGCCCTTAAGTACCTTTATAGCAATACCCACCACACTGTGGTTCACTTCTGGGGCAGTGGTACAGATGACTCGCCCAGTCAAGGATGTACTGCAGATGGAGCAGTAATAACATTGGACCTGTCATGGTTTAACCCCAACTAGCTACTAAGCACCACGCAGCCGCTCACTCTCTTCCCTCCACCCAGTGGGATGGGGGAGAGAATCAGAAGGAAAAAGGTAAAACTTGTGGATTGAGATGAGAACAGTTTAATAGAACAGAAAGGAAGAAACTAATAATGATAACAATACTAAAATTACAATAATAATAATAAAAGGATTGGAATATACAAAACAAATGATGTACAATGCAATTGCTCACCACTTGCCAACTGATACCCAGTTAGTTCCTGAGCAGTAATCCCCCCCCAGGCCAACTGCCCCCAGTTTATATATTGGTCATGATGTCATATGGTCTGGAATACCCCTTTGGCCAGTTTGGGTCAGCTGTCCTGGCTGTGTCCCCTCCCAACTTCTTGTGCCCCTCCAGCCTTCTTGCTGGCTGGACATAAGAAGCTGAAAAATCCTTGACTTAGTATAAAAAATACTTAGCAACAACTGAAAACATTAGTGTGTTATCAACATTCTTCTCATACTGAATCCAAAACATAACACTATACTGGCTACTAGAAAGACAATTAACTCCATCCCAGCTGAAACCAAGACAAGACCCTACCCTCAAAGAGCTGCCTGCTAGACAGGACCCAACAGGCCACCAAGACCAGGCCACAGCGGGCGGCTCCATGCCAAGAGGGAGGTTTAGCAATTGCAGCAAGTGTTGTGGGGGCAGAGAGTTCACTGACCACCCACGGGCCGGTGGGCATCATTGCAACAGGGAGGTTTTGAGGAAGGATTTGGTGGGATCTAAGGGTCAGCAAGCCTTCTCCTCCTAATGGGCTGGGTGCAGCTGGCTTTTCTCCTTTTCAGTTTATTTCCAGAGCAGCCACTCCCCAAATGGTCTACAGTTTCTGGTCCTTCTATCTCTTAACTTAAGACTCAATCACGGCTGTGCATCCCATGCCTCATAGTGACACTAGCACGTAACCGCCCTGTGCCCCCCAGTGATGCCATCCTTAGTGGTCAGACGTCCCAGTGACAGAGCAGCGTGCTGCCAGCACCCCCCCAAACTGTCGGTGGGCCCCCAGGAGAGCCAGCTGGCTTTGCGGAGGAAAGGGACTGCATTCACGACCATGCATCTTAGTCTTGTGAAAAAACATTGCTCTAAGAAATATTTTAGGAAAACAATGTCACAAAATGTAGCATTAAAACCCTCTGTTCAGGTCAAAATATCAGATGCTGTCTGTGGTGAGACTCAATCATATCTGAGTCCTATTGCTCAATGGGGTGGCAGGACCTCAGATGACACCATGATGAGAGGCCATAGCCTGGGGACAACCTGCGGTGAGCAGAAGGGTTGGCAGCCACATGCATGAAAAGACCCGTGGCCCAAATTACATCTCTGCAGCTGACCACCAATGCTCAGCTGCAATCAATGGTCTGTGATTTCAAATGGCTCATGCCGCTCCTGGGAGAAGACCACTGGGGCCTGGCACCAGCACAGAGACAAGCAGAACATGCCACAGCATGGCAGCGCTGAGCGAGGAGGCCACCAAACCAGGTCCCCTCTAGCCTATATCGCAGCCTGGAGTGGGTTAACAGCAGAGCAAGGATTGTCTAGTTTGTCCAAACCAGCTGCCAAGTAGATGAGCTGGCCTCTCCTCTGTAAGGGTCTTTCACTCCATGCAAGCAGCTTAAACCTCTGGTGCCAAATATTTGTCCTCTGCAAATCCCTAATAAGCTGGTATTTAGCAAGAGGATTTACTGGTTCTGCAGTGAGGGCTGATTCTCTTTACCAGTGACTTGGCTTGTTTATGCTGGCAAAGGAAGAGAAGCTGCAAGCCCTGGGGACGAATGGTCCCAATTCCATGACTGTTAACACCCTTCGAGCTGTCCCTCTTGAGAAGGGCAACCCCGAGCACCCTGGAGACGAGACTCCGCAGAAAAACAAGCTCTGCCTGTCCAAACCTCTGACCCTGCGAAATATGAAAGGGACAGATGACCACATGAAAACACACGCTCCAGGAGATGCTCTGGAGACAAAAGGATGCGGTGTCTGTAGGCAACCGCTGTTGACACCAAAGCAAAGGGCGTCAGGAGTGTTTGTATCAAGAGGGCAGTGGCTGCGCTCTTGTTGCACGACGGCAACATGCCAGAAGCAGGGCAACAGAAAACAAGCTCCTGAAACATGTTCCAAAAGCACCACTGGCCTTGCAGAAACACTCCGCTCATGAGATGGTTTATAAAGGTGATGTGCAGGCTGTAAGCCACGGCTTATCCCCAGGTTTCAGAGGGAAGGAAGAGGAGCAGTTGCATGGTTAACCATATTGCAGACATATTGACTGCCTCAACAAGGAAGCTTTTCAGCTCTTGGGCACCGGCTTCCTAGGAACAGTCAAGATGCCACCGTGACAAGGACTTCTAGAAGATGCTGTGGTCTCCTAGCCACAACAGTATAGAGGACAGAAGGATGAACAAAACCATTCTTCAAGCACTGGAATTATTTACTGGATCTACCCCTAAGACAGTGTTAGACATTCGGTGATATCTTCATGACATGACACGGCCCTGTGTGACCCGTACGTACTGTGCGTGAGGGGGGTGCGCCGGGTTCCCGATGCAGGGGCCCTGGGAATTGGCGGGGCTCAGCAGCAGTGGGCTCTGGGAGCGTGAGGAGGAGCCCGAGGATGTACTTTCCAGGTATCGACCTGAACAGCAAAGTCAGAGTCAGCCCAGGGAACACAAATACTCCAGCATCACCCTCCTCCCCATCTCTACTGCTGAGAGCTGACATCGTTTTCCTAGCTTTTTGGCGAAAACCACGTGGTAGTTAGAGACATCAGTATATCACTCATGGAGAGGAAACATCAAGGCTCCTCGGCACAATTCCAGCATGAGACCGTCACCCCTCTGCCAGCCCTACATACCTCTGCCATAAGGGAAGGGTTGGCAGCCTTCTGGTGGGATGCCAAGCCAGAGGGACAGCTTCTTTCCCCATTCACATGTGATTTGATGTGCTGGCACCTCACTTAGGTTAACCTTGTTGCATCTCATTAAACATTTCCCATTTGCAAATGAAAAATAATGATCATTGAATGAATGATTGCTGAAATGCTTTGAATTCCATAGTAGAAAGCTGCACCTACAGAGATGGGTATTGCTGGGGTTGCTGCCCAGCACGTCAGTTAAGCCAAGTCTGGGCATCTCGGAAGCGGTTACGACCCCAACTCAATTTTCTCTAGTTCACCTGTGGAGGCTGGCTTGCTGCCTCGCTTTGTGCTTGCTCTGTGCAGGCAGGACCGGCCATGCCTGCTGCTCTGCACCCGGGGATGCACTAAGTGCTTGCAATAAGGATGAGCAGGACTACTCTTCCTTCAAATGTCCACCCACACAAATCCAATCAAAACTCTGCCAAAATAAGACTGGGATAAAGAAAACTCTCAGCAGAGAGAGGCGCTTTTGCTCTCCCCCTCCAATGGTGTGCTGAGCTACTCACTGCCACCGTGCAGGATTGGTGAGCTCCGCGCTGAGCCCGTATTGCTCTGGGAGCCGAACTTCTCCAGAAGCTCAGAGAACTCTCTCCTGGAAATTAAAACACAGTATAGTCAGCTGCTGCTCAAAACTATTCCCCACCTGATTATATGACAACGGTGCCTCTGATGGCAGTGACTTACTACCACGTCTATAAGGCCGATTCCCTCCAGCAATGGGGAGCAGGCAGAGCTTCCTCATGCATAACAGTAACCCCCCTGGTTTCAAGAGGTTGTGCAAAGCTTAAGGCCAAAAATCAATCTCATGGCAGTGCAGCTTTCCTGTGATGGGCTGGAGCTTCAGTGTGCTCCTTCCCCACCCTGGAAAGTGTTCAGGGTGAACGTGAGCAAGAGGAGCCAGAAAGGGACGTATGGACAAGCACTGGTGCTGGGGACTGTCCTGTCTGAGAGATGGCAGATGAACACAGGAGCCCTGCCTTGCACCCCTGCCTTGCACCCCTGCCTTGCACCCCGCCGCATGGACCCTCCTGGGAATCAGCTGGAATAATTTCACTCCCTACTATAACGCTCAGAAGTTTTGCTAACACACCACACAAGTTAAACAGACTGTCAGAAGGAGCTGGAACTATACAAACATAAACCAAAAATGCTTGGCCTATTTGTGACTACTTCCAGAATAGTTAAATGTAGATTATTCTCTGTTTTTTTCTCCTCCTTTCCTAGACAGAAGGCAGTTCCTGCTAGCTCTTGGTGGGGTAAAGACAGCAGATTGCTTCTGGAGCGTATGCAAAAGAAGCATCCCACTCTCTGAATCTATCCATGGTGATATGCTCCATGAACATCACAGGATAAACTCCTGGAGCACAAGACCTTAACAAAGACCTGCATGCATAAAGCATGCTGGGTTAGCGCAGGCTTCTGTACTCTTCCCAGCAGTTCATGGCTGAAGATGCTGAACCAGCAGGCACGTGCTAAATTTACAGATATCAGGATCAGAAAGGCTTGTTGGTGAGTTCAAGAGCAGGGAGGAATGGCAGCCCACAAACATTTAGCATGATCCCTTTGTCTTGAGGCAACCCCCCCTGCTTCCTGTATGACCTCTCTGCAAGGCAATCTCATCCAAAACATCCCCTGGAAAGCTGGCTTGGTGTCCAAGTGCCTTCATTATTGCTTTCCTTCTCAGCTGAGTTTGACCACCATATAACTACCCCAGTGTGTTGAGTCCTTGATGAGCTGTAACTACTTGTACACAACAGGTGAATTGCTTCGTGACCTTCCTTTTGCTAAGTGTTAACATATTGAGTTTTTAAACCCCATTAAGAACCACCATTAACCATGTTTACCAGCTCCTGCATAATTTCTGTAACCCTTCCTTGAGCTGTCATGAGCCTCGCATCCTTTTGGATGAGGAGGCGCAGGAAGGGGATGCCACGTTCAAGCATCAGCCTCCTGTGCCCATCCCTGCCACGCTGGGTCTTGGCTCCCAGGAGCACACTGTCCCTCCACAACTGTGTGGTCCTCTCCCTTCATAACCCCAAACTGCCTGATCAATCCAACCTTTCGGCAGAGAGAAAAGCCTCAAGGATGACTAGTTTCTTACATGTGTCATTAAATAAGCAGCCAGGCAATGGGGAGAGACCCTGAAACTATTGTTTCTGTGGCCACAGTAACAACATTAGATGTCGACTTTGAAGGCGTGAGGGAATCCCCATGGGAAGGTGCCTTTTTGATGCTATAGCCACAGGAAAAGCCTGGTTATGAGTGGCTAGCTCTCAGACTTGACAGTCAGACAAGCTCAAGACATAAATCTGTAGGAAACAAGCCACAGCAAAGTTTCCTCAGCGAGGAGACTGCTCTTACACACAAGCAGACATTGTGTCATCTGCATACTTTACCGGGACAGATGTTATACATTATTGGCTAGATTAGAGTCAACAATATTAAATGATGAATGAATCATCAGCTCCTTAGGTTCCTGCTGGAAATGCTCTCAGTAATTTACATCTTCCCATTAACAACCAGCTCATTAAGAAACTTCAAAGAGCAGTGCCTGCCTTATCTAATATTGCCATCAAATGTATGCCTTATTCATTCCATTTAATGCTAATTTTAAATCCAAGTGTCACACAATACTTAGTGGAATGCCTTGGTGAATCCCAATACTTTGCCTCAACACTATTGTCTTTATCAACTAAACCCATGACCTTAAAAAAAGACAACTACTTTGTTCAGAAACCGCCCTTCCACAAAACTGTTCTAACATAGCGTTAGACACTGAAATATATGTAAAAGCACTAAGAAAGTGGAAGGACAACTTAGATCCTATAGCAGTAGGACAGTGGTTTGCTGTTCTTTGGTTCCCTGGGTTAAGCCTTGGATGGATCTTACCTCAGCAGGATTTTGCCAACTTCCCAATAAAGCCTCTGTATTTCTATAGGTGATTCACACTCCCATTGCACTGGTAACTCATGCACTGATGGCCTTGTCCCTCCCTGACCTATTGCAATGGCAGGTCTACCATGCTGGAAGCTAACATATTATTTCCAGTGGTTACCAAGCCATCAGCAGTTGGGTTTTTGTTTTGGGCTGGGTGTTTCTGTGGTCATCTATTGTTACATTTTCCTCAGATAATAATCCATCAGAGCACAGAACAGGTTATGAACTTAAAACAATGGCTAAAAAACTCTTAGTCAATGCAAATGCAACTAGTCTGGCAGCTCTTATGCTCTTTAAACCCTGCTAAACAATGCAAACCCAATCACCAATCCATGCTGTCAAACTCTGTTATAAGCAAGGGCAGGTATGACTTGAGCATTCTTTGTTGTTGTTAATTTTATGTCGTTAAGTTCATCCACAAAGGAGTATTTATCATTATTTGCTCAGGAGCCTGAACAACAAGCTCTGAGCCCAGGGTTGCTCTGCAAGCCCTGGGTCCAGCCCAGCCGTTTGCTGTAGGGACGATGTGACTAAATGCTACGTCACACGCCACTGTCCCAGCTCCTGCTTTGTTGGTCAATACTGCAAGCCCCAGTTCCGCCAAGGACATAAACACATGACTAACTTGAAGCATACGCTTACCCCAGGAGCAAGCAATAAACTTTCTGGTGTCAATCTCCTGAGAATTAATTTTGTGCTCAGTGCTGTATTTGAAGGAATTTGCAAGCAGGCAGATGCCCAAACATTGCCAATTAATGAACACGTACACTGAAGGAATGCCAACAGGTCTTGCTTTGTGCTTTCAGACACCAAGAGACTTCAGAAGATGTCTTTAAAATTTGACCCTTACTAAAACATTCAGAATTGTCAGGTGCTTGCAGGACTAAAATGCCCAGCTTTATTAAAAAAAAAAAAATCATGGCATTGTATTAGGTGGAAAGTTCATTTTAACAATCCCTTCTCCAGCTCTTTTTCATTCAGATGCAGACATCTGAGGTCTGGAGGATCCCTGTAACAGAGCTCGGACCCGCACAGCCTTCAGCCAGCCCCACAGCATGGAGTGGGATAATGGGGTTTGCCAGCAGCAGCCAGCTGTAGGCCGACTTTGCTACAGATTAAGCAGCTGGGGGTCAATCTTCCTGCAGAATATTGTTGGTTTATCTCATAATACCTTTTTGTCCTGCCCTTTTGTTCTTGGGAGAACAAAGGGTGAATCCTACATCAAAGGTTATGTGAGAGCACAGCGTCTGGAAACCTCAGCTCTGCACCACAGCTGGGGGAGAAGGAGGAGCCTGTGACAGCAGATAAATTAATAGCTTGTCTCAAAAAAACCCCAAAGCCTGCAGGTCAGTGGGAACCGTGAACCCGAAGCACTGCAAAAGCATCACAAAAGCAGATTTTCTCGCACCCAGCTCACAGCAGCTACAGCATTTCCACCGCTCTCCAGGCAGGATGATGCTCTGGAGGAGCAGCTCCGGCACGGAGCCCAGGTCCATCCTGGCAGAGTCCTGCCGGGGACAGAGCTGCACAGAGCCAGCACATCCTGACCGGTGAGCCCTCCCGCACTGGCTGCGCAGGGCAGCACATCGCGCCGCTGCAGGGCTTTGCTTTTCCATTAATGCCTAGGAAGTGGTGACATGCGCAGCTGCCTCTCCGCTTCTGTGTTAAAGGACATGTGTTTTTCCCCAAAGAGCAGCCAATGGCCGTGGGACACCCCAGGCTTGCTGGAATCAGCCCCAGCACTGCCTTCCAGTTTAGCACCAAGTGCTCAGAGCAACAAACCCGTGGGCTGACACGTCGCTGTCACACGCAGGGCTTGCAGGAAGAAAGGGATTACCTTGCATTCGCACCAGGCTGGGCACGAACTCCAGCAACAGTCTCTCTGCTCATTCCTGGTTATTGGTTGTGCACTTGCAGAAAAGCAGACTACTTCCCTTACTGCTTGTTGTGCAAGCCCTATTTATACAATAACCCATTTTCACCGAGATGACTGTGCATATCATGCGGAGATGCAATGCATTTAGCATTTTATCATGCAAGTACTAGGAGGTGCGGCATAAACTGGCTTTCTCACAGTGGTAAACTTGAAAGACCAGGATGATATCTGTGCAATGCTTAGAAGCAAGGAACTATTGTAACTTTCAGGCTGAGGATGAATAAACAATAATTATATGTATGCAATAAAATTATCCTCATTAGATAAAGATGAGCACAAACGAAAATCAGATCCAACCGTCATCCAAACCCAGCGTGTCCAGCTCTAAATCTGAATTTTCTGCTTTAAGCCCTAGCATTACTGCCACTCTCTGCAGCACATCTGATGCGACAGGCTGAAAACATGCATCTTATACGCGCCAGGACTGAGTTCTATTAAGAGCACAGGTAATTTGGGCCTATAATTAACTCCAGGGACAAATAATAGCGTTTATGAGTCAAATTCACCCGAAGGCAACCACAACAAAATGCTACTCAGCTGAGTCATTGGGAAAATTGGCAGGCGGGTTGGATTGTCTTCCAAACCCAGAGCCATTACGTTTCCTCCTCCAGCATGCCTTGTATGCTCAGGGTTTAGGAAGACCACCTGCATGCGAGTATCTGCAAATAGACTGAATTACACTCCTCCTCGTGTCTTCCTTCAGCTTTCATGTCTCGTGAGCCACTTTGCTGGGCAGTGGGAAGGTGCAAAGCTGCCCTGGACTCATGGGAGTTCACGGCACAGCATCTCTGTGGGTATCACCTCCAGAGCTGGCGGTCCCTGGGAAGTCAGAGAGCCCATTTCAACCCAGACGGAGGGCTGTCTGCTCGCCCATGCTTGAGGACAGACTTAAAAGATAATAGGGCATCAATAAAATAAAGACAAAACTAAGGAAAAAAAAAAAAGTTGAAAGCAGAAAAATCCTTTCTCTGTTTCCACAGCCCTTAATCCTGGAGATGTGTATTCCTGTATTAAACAGTTTGGGAGATGATTATGTAAGTGAAATCTCTGCAAATCTTTTAAAAAAAAATAAATAAACTGATTACTTCCCCATTCTCCCGCTGGCTAACCTTTTGCAGATTTAACAGATAACCAAGAGCAAACAGAGGCCAAATAAATTGCTTAAAGTTTCATTGCCCTCCCAGTCTCCCTCAGTTGGTTTTCCAGCAGCTCCCTCGCAGGGCGATTGGGGACTGCCAACAGATGCACGAAGGAGCTGGAGCTGCCGACAAAGCCACGCGTGCGTATGTTTTAAGAAACATCTGCTGCAATTTAAGATATTAGGAGCCACATCGAGATGCCCAAACAGCTTGGAACAGATCAGCATGGGTGAAAGCAGAAAACCTGCTTGATGGGCACAGTGAGCTGCTTAGCTGCAGGAACCCATCCCTCCTGCTGGGAACCAGCCCCGGCAGCAGCTACCCAGAGTGGACAGTGCGAGATGTCCACGGCCACTTCCCCTCCCCTAAGGCAAGCGCAGGGGACGGCTGCGGCATGGAAGTGCATCCTTACTCTGAGCAAAAGAGGGTCAAAATCTCGAGTCTGGTTCTGCTGACCTGCTCGCTTCACCCACTGCTTCCTCAGCAGCCGCTAAAGGACTTGCAGTTAATATAATAATTTGAGATGTTATATTCACCGGAAGAGCGGAGGTAAAAAGCAGTCTGTCATTAATAGCAAATAATTCTTCCACCAGTGTATTACTGTGTCAAAATTAGTCTCATCCCTGTCATTACAGCACTCTCACTATTCTGCTAAGGCAGTAACACTCCCCAGCTGCTGATGGATAAGGAATTAAACCATCATCTCAGACGCTAACGGAATGCGGGTACGTTGAGCAAATGACTCTGTTGATCTTCAGCCACCCACACGCAGTGCAAAGCCTTGGCGCCACCAGCCTTCTTGCCCATGACCACGCTCTGCCTAAACCCACTCTCATTTCGGTGGTTCCTGGTGCACCTCAAGTTTCCAGACCTGTTTCTATTCGACAGGCAGAGGATGCTCTGGCACATTGCACTGGATCTCCCAAGGGATGCGAGCAAAGGACCCCACTAATCCCATACCTCGGTTTCCAGAACTCTGCCCTCTCTCATGACACCTTCATTGCCCCACACAGCTTAAATCCAGCCAAGACAAAACTGAACTCTGTCCTTCTCCTTTTGAATCCTCCAAGTCTCTCTAGAGAAAGCAAGGTTTTCCAGGGAGTGGCGAGGGGAGAGCTTTCAGGGAGAAACCACTCATCCTCCCTGAGAAGGAGGAATCCTCTGTGGAAGGAAGACCTTAACTCAACATGTCCAACTGGAAAGGAAAGGGAAGATCTTGCTGTCCCTCTGTGTCTTCATCCAAAGCTCTGTGCAGGACATGATAAGCCGTAGGCAGCTCAGCACTGCACGGCAGAGCTGAAGGAGCCCGTGCCACCCTACAGCCAAGGCTGGAGCTGCCCTGGTCCTCACTGGGGAAACACCTGCAGAAATCTGCTCCGTGCCAGAATGCCCCACAGACCCAGCGCAGGGTAGGCTGCAGCCAGGTCTGCAGCTGGGAGCCACCAGCTTTGCTTTACTTCCCATTACAGCTCCAGCACGTTCCCACCAGCGTACAGTTATCAGAGACCCTTGGCCACCTCAGTCTTCACCATGGGCTTTAAGCCTGGTTAGCTCAAAGGCAGTCCAGCTACGGTGCTGACGGGATCCCCCTTCCCGGCACGAGATGACACCCCTTACCTGGCATCGTCATCGCGGGCTATAAGAAGGTGCATGTGGCTGGTGGCTGATGCTGTCCTCAGGATGTCCACAGCCCTGCGAGACAAGGACCGCAACACGTCAACGCCAGCTCGCAGTGATGCTCCACCGAGCTTGCCCAGCCATGTATCAAAGCTCACAGCAAACTGGGCAGAGAACCATAGCCTGGGCAAACCCCATCAGCAACGAAGTGACCTTTTTCGGCTGGATGCCTGTGGAACACCCCTGTTTCCTGCCCTGGCAGCAGGGCCAGAGGGCAGCCGAGTCGCAGCCTGATTTTCCCACTTCTGCAATAAATTAGAAGTCCCTGATAACAAAGCAGACCCAGAAGACGCAGGAGGTGGTGAGCAAATACCTCCCAGCACATCTCCTCCCTCGGGAAGTTTCCATCTTGGGGACGACCGCTTTCCAGTTCAAAATACACGCATCCTCGTGGGAGTCAGGCCAGCATGCTGGGAGCCAGACGCAGCCTCCCTGCAGCTGCAGAGATGTCCTCGGGGACCTCCTTCACCAAACCCCGCCAGCCTGGGGGCTTGGGAGCAGGAGAAGCTCCTTGTGCTGCTTCCCAAGGATCCATCCAGCCTAAGCATGCCATGCAGGAATGCAAGGCAGCCAGCGGGCTAGCACCACATTTAATGGAAAAGGGGTCCCCCAAAAGTGCGGTACTCCTCTGGATCAGTTAATTGTTTCCTTGTCAGGGAGCTGAGGGGCTGGATTGCAGCTCCAGAGGGAATCCCACATGCAGAGCAGCGCTGGCGGGCTTAGGCACTGGCTAATCTCCGGCGCTGGGAGCTGCAGGGCTTGCTGGGAAGCTGCAGCAGATGGAGTGGGGGTGCCAGGAGCTGTTAAAAAGCCAGCATTTGGGGGAAATGTCTGAATATCTCACAAATACAGTTTGGGTTCACTGGTCTATTTTTATATAGAAAATTTTTGTTTGATAGTTCCCAGGCTGGCTCTCAGGAACAGCTCTGGCTGCGTCAGAGTACAGACAGAGCGATGCCCTGGTGTCCTCTGTGCAACCTGCAATTTAAACCACTTCACAGAATTATACAAAAGCAACAGGAATGCAAAATTTCCGTTTGGATATGGTACCTCTCGCTTGTAACCCCAATTAAGGAATCTCCATTGACCTCCAGGATCTGGTCTCCTGGCTGCAGGCGCCCTAGAAAAGAAAACTAATGGATAGAAACTGCAGAAAATACAGCTTGAAGGGACTGGGAGAGGTTGGGCAGTTCCTCCCTTTGCCCAGAGACAGGATGAAATATGCATAGGTCGTTCCTGAGATGCTCCTCCAACCTGTTTTTCAAGACGTCCATAGATGAAGTTTCTGCAACCTCCCTGAACAACCGATGCCAACATCGCAGCACTTCCTCTGCTGTAGGAAGTTACGAAAGTAAATACCAAAAAATGCAATACAGCTTTTACTTAATTCAGTTTGAGGTCAGGTAGAAAACCACAAGCGGCACTTCCACCTGTTCTGGATTTATTTTTCTTTATTAGATGGAAAATTGATGTTGTAATATTTGGGGAAAAAAAAAATCTTTTTGGCTTAAGTTATGAAAGGTGAACTCTGTAGACCCCTGCATAATACCTACTTATTTGAAGATACTCAGGATGAAATCAGTGGCCTAGAGCAGAGCTGAATTTGCAAAAGGATCTCAGGTCATTTTGGGGCTACAGGCAGTCAGTGGCACGTGGGAAAGGACAGGCAGCAAAGTGAAGTTCTTTGTGTGGCAGAGATGGATCTTGCTTTAAAGACACGAAGCAATCATATACATGCTGCAGAAGCCAAGGCAAGGCTGCTGTTGGGTGTTACAATGATTGCCACAGTACAAAAATACCCCCGACTGCTGGAAAATCTGGGAAGAAGCACCTGAAATGTCTAATAAGGCAACATATACAATAAGAACACTGGATTTTGGCTTTTCTCAGACTTTTTGGTACTCTGCACCATATTTAACTCACCGTCTGCGTAAGCAACACCCCCCGGAAGGATCCTCTTGACATAAACTCCATATTCTTCCCCCGTGAGTTCCTTGATGCCACCGATGACCTTAATACCTGGAGGAAAAGAGGTACCCATGACACAAAGGCAGAAAAATCGCAATTTCCACAGGGTGTCTTGGAGGGATGCAGCCTCAGGTACAGCTCCCAGGCACCCTGGCACCCCCTGACACCCCTGTTAAAAGCCATTTGTGGAAAGCCCCATGTATCCCCTGCACTACACAAGCAGCAGCAGAAGCAAGAGGATGCAGCCGCTGACACAACACAAAGGCTAAAGGCATCTGATAGCACCAGCTGTGAAGACAAGGCTCCTCAGAAAGGCATAGGCAAGGAGCAACCACCTTACCCAACCCCAAATTCATAGAATCATAGGCTGGTTTGGGCTGGAAGGGACCTTTAAAGGTCATCTAGTTGAACCCCCCTGCAATCAGCAGGGACATCTTCAACTAGATCAGGTTGCTCAGAGCCCCGTCCAACCTGACCTTGAATGTTTCCAGGGATGGAGCACCAACCACCTCTCTGGGCAACCTATGCCAGTGTCTAATCACCCTCAGCGTAAAAAATTCCTACCTTATATCTAGTCTAAATCTACTGTCTTTTAGGACAAGGGGTAATGGTTTCAAATTATCACAATGGGCCCTGCTAAAAAGTTTGTCCCTATCTTTCTTGTAAGCCCCCTTTGAGTACTGAAAGGCCGTAATAAGGTCTCCCCAGGCTGAACAACCCCAACTCTCTCAGCCTGTCCTCATGGGAAAGGAGTTCCAATCCTCTGATCATTTTTGTGGCCTCTGGTCCTGCTCCAGCAAGTCCAAGTTCATCACTGATGGGAAAGGATCGGATTCTGCTGTGGACGCCTCAGCCTGTGCTGATGTCTCTGATAAGATTTGGCATAGGAAACACTACTGGAGACAAGCGTTTCCCCCAGGAGACCCCCTTCAAGGTGCAACATCTGGACAAGCCCCAGGTTCCATACAGTGGTGAGAACATCCCCACTGCAAGCTTGCCTGCCTGCTGGGCACCAGCAGCATCTCCACCACAGCCTTTGAAGCTGCCACCAATGGTAGAGCCGCACATCAGGAGCAGCCACTTTTTATCAGTGTTTGGACCGGGAGGAGCAGCCCAGAGGCAGGAGCCAGGGTGCAGAGACGACCTTTGCTGAGGCTCTGAACCCCCCCGTTGTGGCAGCGTGGGTCGGGTGCCCTGCAGCACCTTGGCAAAGGGCTTGTGCTCTGCACGACCACCTCTCCAGCCACAGGACCTGTCCCTGCTGGCATGCGTAAGCAGGCTGGCAGGAAAAGGCTCAAGAGACTTATTTGTCCAGGGCTCATTAAGTCCTGCTTTGAAGATCCAGGCTGCGGACAGAAGGATTAGAAAGCCCAGCTTTAATTAACAAATCTCTCCTGAGAGCCTCTGGTTGGGCATTTTGCTGCTCTGGACAGGAGGGAACGCTGAGGACAGGCGGCACCAGAGAGAGGGGCACTGCCAGCATCAAGCCGGCTTCATCGTCTGGCTGCTGCCCTGGGGTGATGAGCTGCTCCGAGCCTGGGAGAGGTCCTGGGATGCACGGAGTGACCCATTGCAAGAAACTCCTCTGTCTGGGGGAGCAGAGCACAGCTTCTTCCCCCAGACACGAGACCATCTTTCTGAAACAAGCAGGAGGGAAGAGGAGTGGACCCTGGATTTGGATTACTTGGGATAACAGTGCTATTTCCATCCCTATTTCCCTTCCTTTTATAACTCAAGCTCTGCTCTAAGGACCCTCGCAGTTTTCAGCTACCTGTAGGGAAAGACCTTGTCTCTCAAGTCACCTTCACATTAAAATTGTGATTAAACCCAGATTATTACAATTTTTCATTTCATTCCTATATGCACCAATTGCCGCTTCTCCCAAGCACAAAACCCCAGCCCTGTTTGAGTGCTGCAGTTTATTCCCTAGGCTTGATGCATTAACCGTACAATACCCAGGTGTCTGTGAGGAGCCGTTTCACCGATGGCTCTGGGAACTCACAGCAGAACACCTCAGGAACAGGCACCAATGCTGTTGTCCATTGCATTTTTAAAGAAATTCCCTAAAATTAGAAACATTGCCCAAAAGAGGTATCTGAGTGGCACAAGCCTCACCAAGGCGTGGAGGCACGTCAAGCACCTGTAAACCAAAGCAGGGAAGAGATGCTGCAGCCCCAAAGCCCGTTGACAGAAGGTAAAACCTGCTCATCACCAAGGATGCTCAACTGGAAAGCTTCTCAGCTCCCGACTGGGCTGGGGTGGCTGCTGGTGGGCTTTGCCACCAGCTGGCAGAGAGACCCTTGGGAGCAGGCTTGCATTTGGGATGGGTTTGGGAAACCCCTGGCATGGGGGGGGGTCCTGCAGAGGCAAAGCCCCATCAGTTCCCCTGGATGGGGGGGACACTAGAAGTCCAGCTTAAGCCAAGGTGATGACTCAAGAAGTTGTCCTACATCTTTCTTCACACCAGAGCATGAAGTAGTTAGGAATGATAAAATGCATTAGACAAATCATGTAAAAAATCTACATCTCAGAAGAGGCTCAACTGTAGCATCACCCAATGGGACCTGCTTGTGACAGGCTCCTCTGCCGAGGTATCACATCAATAATGACTCATTTCCCTTTTGTGTCCGCAAATCAATTGTAATAATGGCTTAATATAGCTGAAGTATCTACAAATCCTCCTTTATCCCCAACAATGTCAGGAGAAAATCCGATCTTGTTATTAAAATCAGTGATTACTCACAGTATTGCTCCCAGACACACTCAAACTTTGACAAGGGGGAGGAAAAAACCCCTGACTTTTAACTCCCTTGTTGGCAAACCAGCTGGGTGCTGCCAGGCTCTGCCCGTGCTGCCCTCCTACCCATCACCTCACCATGAAGGCACTGCAGATGTCAGTCCTGCCCCCCAGGAGATGCACCGGGGAGTCCCCACCAGTGTGGGGGTGAGGAGGAGGAAGAGGAGGAAGGGGTTACCCCTGCCAGGGCTCAGACCGAGCCTTGGGACAACCCAGGACTCAGAGCAACACACACAAATTATCAAAGATTGTGGTGGTAGCATTCCTGGGAGTCTTCATATTTTATAAACAATTACTTCAATCAAATTTATATTTGGGGCCCAGTGTAGGTAAATAATGGCTCTTTAATTATCACAGCATCAAAGTCCCAGTATAATGCTTATTAAGTCATACTTAGGGCCAGATAATCTAGCCTATTTTGGATCCCTCTGTTTAATCTTTCCCTTCTGGCAAAGGTCCTGGACCTGATGCCCACATCCCCAGTATTTTCTCTTTTGCAGAATAAATGTTTACGGGGAAATTCCAGGTGGGCATACAGGTTAGACTGACTGAGAGGGCATTTTCTTTAGATTCTTAGCGATCCTATAAATTTCTTCAAGACCCTCAAGCTTCTCTGGTGCATCTAATCCTGCTCCCACTAATGCCAGTGTCACAGTTCTCAACTTCTCAGGCTATAATCTCACCTGCTCCCAGCTCTCTGTACCATGGGTCAAGGGGTGTCCTGGCTAATCTGGTTGTTTAGCCCAACTGTAATCATCTCCGGCGCATCCTGACCCCACCAGCCGCCGTTCGCACTGCTGGCAGTCCGAATGGAGAGAGGCCACCCGCTTTGCGCCTAAGCTAGCAATGTTCAATTACATTCCCCTTAATCGCTCTGTTGATCTTGCAGCCCCGGCCAGCTTTTTCTGTCTGGAGGAAGGGACAGATTGGAGGTGAATCACTCGCTGCCCTGTCCTAAGAAGATGAAGGTCAAGATAATGGGATCTCAGTGTTTCTGAGAAATGCTTCTTAATGAGCACTTCCCTTTGATGGCTATTTTTTAATTGAAAGTTCAGGTTTTAGGAGCTGCCAGGTAACCCCTTTGAACTTCTGCTGAGGTTCACATGTGGGTTTCCCTCAAGCCACAGAGCAACAGACCTGGGGCCAAACGCTGACCTGCCACGCCGGCACTGAGCGGGCTGATGTTCCTCTAAAGAAACTCTGCTGGAATAACAGCCACATCTGAACATAAGAAACTCATGGAGGTACATTCTTTCCCCCGCAAAATATACTCTGAGTAGCTACACCTATAGCAGACACAGGGCTCTTGAAAGCACCGCTTGGTCCTTGGCAGAGAGGGATGATTTCTGGAGGACGACCGGTTGTCTTGGGTGTTTCAAGCCTCCCAAGAGAGGATGAAGAAAGCTGATGACAGCATTAGAAAATCCACATGATTATACCTTCCTGCAGCACATCACAAGACCCTATAGAGGGTCTGCAAGACCCTGCAAAGACCCTCTGGCCACAGACTGGGGGAAAGGAGGAGTATTGGGACCCAGCAAAGTGGCTCGCAGTGGGCTGCAACATTTGTGCACTTCTTCAGAGGTCAGCGACAGCCCAGTCAGGCTTTTCTGGGTCTCCTTCTTTAATGAACTAATCTAACCCACCAGCTAAAATCCCATCAACTCAACCAAATCCACCTCTAGAGATTAAAATATCATATTCACCGAGCAAAGACATTTCTCTGAGCTCCCATGAACTTCCTGAACAGAAGATCGGGGGAAGAGTCAGCAAAGCCGTTCCTCCACCGCAGAAAGCCCTGTTACCCAAGAGCTGGAAACAGCCAATAATGAATCCATAATTAATCTCAGGTCTCAGGAAACCTAACGTTTCTCTGGTGAGTTTGACTTCTCAGGAGGGGTCCCCAAATGGTCACCCAGGGACCTCACCAAGGGGCCCATAGCTGCTCTGCAGGGTGATGGGCTGCACTCGCAATTAAAAATTATGGAGGAGACTACGTGGTGGACCCCAAGAAATCCTGATGCAGGATCACAGTTTTTTATAAAGTCCATGGAACGGAACCAGTATTTATGCTGCTGGATACACAGAGGTCAGATGAGATGCTATGCTGGATCCTTTTGAGCTAAGTTTCATGAACCTGCGGCTCTTTCTCACGTTCTGGTGGCTATGACCATCTCCTTTCCCTTCTCTTCCATGCTTTGATGTTCAGAGCACTGTGGAAGGACGCCTGACTCGCTCAGTGCTCATACCCTTACCCGTGGGCCAAAGTTTCCAAAAACCAACTCATACAGCCCAGTTCCCAGGAGAGCTGCAACACCCTGCATCACCCGTCGGGGTGGCTTCCTGGGGGACCCTGCCTGCAGCAGGGCAGGGGCAGCTGGCAGGGGCAGGCAGCTGGGAAGTGCTTGGGATTTTATTTATTTTTTATTATTGTAGCTTTTTAAGTTTTTAATTTTTTTAATTTTAAATTTTAATGTAATTAATTCAGAAAATTTTAAAAAGCCTTTTTTTTCTGCTGTCCTGCTCAGGGGAGGGGCTCTGGCCCCAGGGCTCCTGCACAGCTCTCAGCACTGCGGCTGCTCACCATCAACCGGGAATTAGTTGGGGTTTTGACTTTATTTTAACTTCCCAGCCGCAAAAGGTGCTATCAGATGCTCAACACAGGCAGACACAAACCCCAGAATTTCTGTGAGATATCAGACTTCACATAGGGAGGCACACCACGACACAGGTGCTAGGGACTGGGGAGATGTTCGAGCTGCTCCAGCCCACCCTGATGTCCCCTGCAGAGGTTCAGTACTCACCCAGCCCATTTGCACAGTCGTAGAAATCAAAGCAATGCACAGTTCGATCCATCCCATATGGTCCCATGAGTGTCCTGGGAGAAAGAAGAGAAGCATCTTTCTTTCACGGGCTAAAATAAATAGATGCACAGGTGCCCAGCCAACATGCACACAAGCACATCCTTCCCACTACCCCAGACGTTGCCCACGAAATGATGTAGACAAACAGGTTGAGGGACACAGCCCCGCATATTAAGCCTCCACTGGCAAAAATCAACCCCCTTCCACCCCCCTGAAGTTTATACAGATAAATGAGAGAATATGTGCAGGGCTGGACATCATCCTCCCCACCCAGCAAATCTGATGGACCTGTCTGTGATTCATTACCCCAGATTAACGGGGTTGGACAGCTGTCTAGCTCCCGGGAAATGAGATCAGAGCTCAGACCAATGTTCCGGGAATAAACCAGTTTCACAAATACAGACAGCCTGTAATGAAGACAGCTGGGCGCGATCCGCTCCCGAGGTTTTGTAATGCAGGCAGTCTCCATCCCTCTGACAGGGGGGTCTGGAAAAAGGGGATGCTAGATCTGCCGAGCCGCTTCAAGTCCCTGCCTTGCGAGGTCAAGGGTGGGAGCTTCTTATCGCAAGCCAAAGCAGGTGCAAGAGCATCGTACACCTGCGTTTGCCCCGTGCCAAGTAATTCTCCCAACCACCCCACAGTCTCCCCCTAAACACCCTCTGGCAAGGTGGGTGTCCCAAATAAATGACACCAAAAGCACCCAGCTTCACCCTGCCCTAGCTTGGGACCCCGGACTCCAAACCCAGGACCACTGGCGCTTCTCCTCTGTGGGTGGTCTGTGGTGGTCACCCCTGTGAGGATGGGTGGACCTTGATCTGAGAAGCCCAGAGCCAGGCATGCCAGGTGGGAAACCAGGGGTGAGGGGCTCCCAAAACACGCCAATTCCCAGGATTTAAGTTGCAAGAGAAAAGATGTTTCTGAATCAATATCGGATCCCAAATCTGGACGCAGCTGAGGAAGGACAACACCGTGGGCATGACAGGCTCCTCCGAGTTCAGCAGGATGCAGGAGAGGAATAAACCTCAGGGACTTCTCTTTTCAGGCATCCAAAATACCTCTCAAAATATCAAGCTATTCTGCAAAGTCAGTAACACCCACGTCTAAGATTCAGACCGGAAGCTTTTTCTCCCTGTAATTTTAAATACCCCCCCTTGATATTCTTGCAATGTTTCATGTATTCAAGAAACTGGACAAACAACTGGCCACATCTGGCTGTCAGAAAGCAGAGCCTGAAGGTGTCCCAGGAAGCCAGAGCAGCCCTGGGCCCAGACTGCTTCAATTTACCATCCAGGATTTTGAGAGTATTTTGAGTAAATTGCTGAGGCAACTCCCCCACGAGTAAACAGAAATAGCTCAAACCGGGCTGAAACACAACATAAGGACAGAGGTTTCGGTAAAGCAGATGCCTACTTGATATGATCAACTTTTATCCCCGATCCAATGCACACACAGCGGAGCAGAAGTGAGCTTTGCTAACGCTAGAGATGCAAGAAAACCAACAACAGACACTAGTTACAAGGGCCTCGGCTATTTCTGCTGCATGCGAGCCATCCCTGCCACCGAACCCTGGTCCTGGAGAAGCCACAGCAGACCACCCTTGGCTCTCTAGAGTGAGGTGGCCACCGGGACCCCCAGGGCTGCCCCGTTCCCCCTCCCCGATTCCTGCCCTAGCTGCAGGGGGATTACCTGCTGATGATGATGGCTCCCTTGTAAAGGACAGAGACAGCAGGCATCTTGCTGGTGGCGGCAGCCCAGACCTGCCGGGCACCAGTCACTCTGATTTGGCAGGAATCCGTTAAAACGATGGGGGAAAAAAAAAAAAAAAGAAAAAAAAGGGGGAGGTCGGAGGGGGTCACGTGGTCTCCCCGTATGCATGTTAATTCCACCCAACATTAACACAGATCAGATAAAAACATCTCCAACTTTAGATTAAAGCTTACGCAAGCCAACATGGCCCATCGCAAGTGCCTTCCTGAACAAGCTGGGAGGGAGATCCGCCAGCCCCCCCAGCAGGGCTGTCGCACTCATCATTAACACAGCAGGGTAATTATTTGGATGCATCCTATTGTGTGTCTTTGGGAACAGCCCCTCCAGGGATGGAGGACAGCATTTGGTGCAAGATGTGTGCTCACCATCCCTAAAGGCTTAAAATCCGTAGCAAAGCTTTGGAAGTAATAACAGACTGTAGCACTTAGGGGTTTTTGGGTTTTTTTTTCTTTTAACTTCTTTTCCAGCCCACAGCATTTCCTCCTCAATACAAAGCAAGTTCAGCTGTTCCACTATCTGTTGCGAGGTCAGAAATATGATTTGCCTTGAAACAGCATCTTCCACCCCCGTCTTGACACCCATCACCTTGCTGCAGAAGCACTATGACCCCCAGTTTGTGGGATGTGGGGCTGGAGGCATCAAATGAGATTATCCAAGGTTGGCCAGTGAGCAGGGACAGAGCTGGAGCAAGCCACCTTGGGGCTTGGCAGGAGCAGGGCTGTGATCTTGGTGGGCATGGTGTAAAATGAAGAGAAATTCCCAGGGAACATGCTCCCCTGGAGCTGGAGGCAGTGAGATGACATTGGTCCTGCATCCCTGCCAGCTCTGGGAGACAGCTAAGGTCACAGGTAGGCTCTTGGCCCTGACTTCATCAACGGTGTCTTCCTCGTACTGTTCCCACAGCATCTCTCTGCAAGCTCCTGGACGAACCCTATTAGTGGTACCACACCTCGTTAGCTGAGCATCAGTGTACATCAGTCCAGCTCAGCTGGGGATCAGAAACAGACGTGCTTGCTTGGGACAGCAAACTCTTTGCCAAATATTTCCTTGAATCTGATGCTGTTGGATATTACTTTTCCCATGTGTGAACAACTATTAGCAAGAGCTTCCCCAATGGCCATGTGAAGCTTTGCTGGACAAGTGCAAGATGCTTTAAAACAATGACAAATCTGAAAAGTTTTCCTGTATTTTAATTGCTTTTTTTTAAAGTTACTTCCATTTGAGGGCATTCAGATGAAATATTAAAACCCCAAGCAGACTAGACCTTTAGGTAGCCAAAATGCTTCTAAAAACTGAATTCTTTTAGCTACAAGATCAAAATTTGGATAAATATTGCCAACTAGACATCAAACGTAGCTGCATCAGGCGATACAGTATGCGCACTCCACCAAAGCAAGGCATGCCCAGCACCTAGTCCGCATCTGCATAAAGACTTTGGCCAAACCAGGCTAAGCACGAGGAGTTGTACATGGGGCCACTTCCCAGTCTGCTGCATGGCTGCAGCCTTCTCTGCACCGAGAGCCTCACAAAGGTACTCCTCGCAGCAACAAAATGGCAGGGAGATGCTCTTTCTCCTGTCATCCCGCAGACAATGTTCAGGGTACAGAGAGCTGAACATCATGCTCCATTAAGGCAGGAGGATCCAAGCACCTGGCGATTCCTGTCCCACCACCAAAATTCAGCGTACAACCTTCCGAGGTCCTCTGAGACTCTGTTAATAAATTAATTTACAGAAGTACCCCTTTGAGTCATGGGCCTTGGCTGGAACAAATCAGTGCTGCTGAAGGGAAGGGATAGCACAAGCGCTGGAGGCAATGTCAACAGGACAAGGTGACCTCTCTGACCAGCTTCAGAGGGGCTGCAGGAGAGCTTGCTGGAGCCAGGCCAGCCCAACCCAAAAAGTGCAGGCAAACGGGAGAATTTCCCTGCCTGGCAATTCAGTAATTCATCCATACAGGTTTCTGCATCTCAGGGAACAATTTCCACACTCAACATTAAGCGGACATGTTTGTTTGGGGCTCAGCACCTTCAAAACCAAATCCTTCAGCAGCCCAACCACAGTCCCACCAACCATGGTCTGTCCAACCGCTGCCAGCGGCGCCCAGAGCGATGCTTGCCCTTCTCGTGTGCTGATGCTTCATACCGGCTGGGTGGGATGTTGCAATAAACCACACGTTTGTCTGTGAGGTGGTGAAGTAAATGAAAATCGAATCGAAGAGGCCCTCAGGGAAGAGGAGCAGGGCCAAGGTGATCTCCAAACTCTCAGAGCCTCAACTCCATCTTCCAAAACACAGGCTGACCCTGGCAAAAGCATCAGATGCTGATGCTGCTCCTGCCGATTAACACCTGTCTTATTTAGAGAAAGTTTCAGGAAAATAATTGCAGAAGTTTTTCAGTGTTTTAAAACTCAGGCTCACATTCAGGAAGGATTTATAGCCACATATAACCTGCCTGAGGGTTCCAGTCCTGCTCTGCGTAACCAGTGTTGAAGGCAAACATCCCACTGGCAAAGGAGATACGCCATATGCTCAAGCTCTTTACTGAGCGGAGACCTAGCTGAGCAATTTACTTACAGTAAATCCAGCTGGAAAGCCCAGGCTTCTTACCCCAGGGAACTGCCAGCAAGACTTGACATTTTTAAATAGATGGGTGAATGGAAGGAGCACGAATTAACACCACAGGGCTGGACAGCGTATAAACATGTGCTTAACTTGCATGTCCACATTTTCGTTGACTGCTAGAAAAATGAATTTGAAAACTCATTGAAAAAAATTATTTTTTTCTATGTAAAAAGTTTTTTTTGCTCGAAAAAAATTTTTAATACAAAAAGTTGAGTGAAAGTATATCAGTCAGCTTTACTTAGCACTAGCATGTATAAGCGAGGATGGGTGAAGCTACGAGTGGAATCAAAATAAGTCTTAGAGCAGGATCAAAGGTAAAAAAATGCCGACAGCAAAATATAGCATGTCAGATGCATTTCCAATACGTTTTTCTAAGAGATCGTGAAGGGGAAACTGGGGGAGAGAGAAACTGGGAGCTCTGGGAGGAGGCACGGAAAGGGAGCGGGTTACGTACCAGCGACTGTGTCAGTGCTCTTCCCCCATCCCGCAGCAGCCGGCTGAGCTGCTGCTCCCTGCCGAGGAGCAAGGAGGCAAAGCAGGCTCTTACTGGGGCTGGCTGTGCCCTACACACCATCCTGCCTCCTCCAGGGCATTGCACCTTCTCCAAACCACCAAACTTTGACCAC